CTGGGGAATTGGGGGAGGGGAACAGCGTTGGGGAATTGGGGAGGGGGAACCGACAAGTTGCTGTCCTTTTGTTCTTCAGTCTAGTGGAGGACGTCACTTCACTGGCCCATGTTGGTATTATCATTGCGCTCTTCCTGGGTGAGGGAGATGGGTCGCAGGCCTCTGGACGGCTGCTCACAGCAGCTCTTGGCAGCTCACACCAGCTGCCGCCCACTCACGCTGGCTGCCAGCCACACACGGTAGCTTATGGCAGCTCCCACTGCAGCAGGAGCTACAGCCTACGCCATCCCTGGAGAGTCACAGCAGCCCAGATCCAGGTCGAGCTGTTGTTCACCATCTTAGAGGGCATCTTAGAGGACAGTGTCACTGGCCCTCATGTGGGATCCAAACCGGGGCCCTGCTGCTCAGAGCTGGCGTCCCAAGCCAGTTCTTAATCAACGTGCCACTCGGCCGGCCCTAAATTTATAGTTTTTGTCTTATAATGGCAGGATGGCAGTTTTATTAACTATAGTTCTATATGTCTTTCTCGCTCAGCAAAATTATGTATTAAACAACATTTTCACTTTATAAAATGACATACTGTCTTCTGCATTTACAAAGATCTCTGCAAATATGACATTGGGAAGGATACACATTAAAATCCGATGCTGGCTGCCTGTCGTCCATTACCAGAAGCAGGGTGGCTCCCAGCGCCACACAGAACAGGATGGGCCCAGCTAGGTCGGTTTCATTCATAATGCTGCCATCTGCTGGCTTCAGTGGGTTTAACACTGTCAAGGTTTTTTGCCATATGTGATCAAAATTAATTCCAAGTTCTGTAAAAAGGGAAAAAAAGGAGATAATATAAATATAGAAAAATAGCACCAGTAATATTTTAAATTAAAGTTAACAGCTGATTAATTACTTAGTGTTTTAATCTGATTGTTATACCTTCAAAATTAAAATTATATGTAATATATAGGAACCATAAATAAAAAATAAATAAATAAATAAATAAATAAATAAATAAATAATAGATTGTTATTACCAAACAATGAACTAAAACAAATACTTTAGAGAAATGATTCCATCAAGGAATATTTTCCCTGACTTATGGGAATCGAAGCTTAAAATCTAGCTGAACATTGAGAAATGGATATTCTACAGTCAAAAAATAAAGTAAAATGTTAGCTAACAGACCAAAAGTCCCATCGTCTTGCCCATTTAGATAGCTTGTGTTCCTACAATTTCCATTGCAAACTCTTTTGAAATGTCGTCATATCAAACATAGCTGAATTTTTCACTTAGCTGAATGACCTGAACTGAAGATATTTCAGCCAGGGTCTGGGATTTTACTTCCACCCTGCCTGCTGAGAAGAGCAGTTCTATGCTGCCTGCCTGACACTCCACCAACGAGAAACAGGATGGCCCTTGTAGGGAGTAAAAGGAAGCAGGACATGCGTGCCTTCTTTGACCAGTTAAATGCTCTGTGTGGTTGAGTCTGTGTATTCAAAGATTAAAACCTTGAGACAAGTTTACCATTCCCTTTTATAAGTGGCTCAGTGTGCATGAGTCCAAACTCATTTCGACAGTTCTAATTCTTTTTTCCAATGCCTTCTTTTCCAAATTCTGACTGCCAACTCACAGTTGCTTCTGTTAGATTCTGCTCCTCTTACATGTTTTTTTAATTAAAATTTATTGGGGTGACAATGGTTAGTAAAATTACATAGGTTTCAAGTGTACAAAACAATCTCACACATTTGACAATTTGACATCCACTGAATAGAGAAATAAATACTGACACAACATCTATTTCTTTTCTCACCACTCCTATAAACTTTAAGATATATCTTGAGTAGAAAAAAAGAACATTCAAAAAAACCCAAAAGAACATGACTTCATTGTTTAGAAACCAATAATCAAGCTGGTTACCCTCCTTCTATCATTTTAAATTTGAATAAGAGTGAGGTAGATGTTAGGAAAAACTGGAGCTAAACTACTGTAAAGTAAAAGCATTTCAAGTAAAAAGAGTTGAATGTTTTTTTACTAAATGTTTTTACTGAATTTTGCTGTGAGCTCTGTAAGATTTACTTACATGCTTTGGTCTTACAGACACACAGTGAAGCTAGCTAGGGCTGTTATTTTACTCCTATTTTGTGCATCAGATTGCTGAGGTTCTGAGAGACTAAGTAACTTTTCCAAAGTCACAGAGATAATAATAGAAAATCTAGGCTTCAACACTGGAGAATTTGACTCAAGAACCCAAACTTAAAAATAAAAATCCAATTTAAGAATGGACGGAAGTGAATAGACATTTCTCCAAAGAAGGTACATGAAACAGGTACATGAAAAAATGCTCAACATAAATAATCATCAGGGAAATACAAATCAAAACCACAATGAGATATTACCTCACTCCTGTTTGAATGGCTATCAACAAAAAAGACAAGAAATAACAAGTGTTGGTGAGGAGGTGGAGAAAAAGGAAGCCTCATGCACTATTGGTGGGAATGTTAATTGGTGCAGCCACTATGGAAAACAGTATGAAGTTTCCTCAAAAATTAAAAAAAAA